ATCGTTCACATTAAAAGTACTGTGGTATTTATATATTTAATAGTGTGTTGTGGGAAGTAAGCTAAGGCTGCAAGGACAATTGCATGCTCCTGTTCTTGCCACTGCCTCTCTTATCTCATTCAAGAAAACAATCTAGGAGGCAAGTGGAGGGTTAGCTCAAGAGGAATACAGTTGTCTGAGTCAGAGAAAGAGAAATTTGTAGGAAAGAGGTTAAAAAGTGGAAGCCTAAGCTTCAACCCTGTCTCCAGTGATCTCAGGAGTCACTCCTTCCTGGGGCTTTCAATACACCATCTATTTTGTAGCTTTGTGTGAGGCAGAGAGGGGGACTGAAATCATCACTGAGTCCACCCGGTCATGTTTCAGAAGCTGGTGATGGACAGGAGAGGAAGAGGGAATTAAACTGGGTGCAATCCCCCCTTTACTGCAGCTCAGAAATCCAGATGATATTATGGGGCAAGTTACCTCATTTGACTTAAAGTTAACCCATGGCAGCTCAAAAGACAGGCACCTTGCAACAGAGATGCAGCCTGCACAGTTAGGAACAATTGAAATAGTCTGTGTGCTCACATTCTTGTGCGAGGAACTTTCTGGCATAAGAGGTCCTATGAGAGCACTAGGGGCTGTTAGGCCTGTACAATGAAAAGTTACTTTGTTCAGCTTCTAGCTTGGGTGTAAAAAGTAATTCAGGGTGCCAAAACAGTGTTTATACTTATCCAAAACAGATTTCTTTGTTTGTTGGTTGTTTTTTCTCTTCTTTAAACTTGGTCACTCAGATTGGATATGGAAGCCCTGGATGAACTTTTCCTCTCCCTGATTCAAACCAGCAGTTTCTTCTTAAACACAACCCAGACTTTCTGGGCGCTCACAAGGGTTACTTTGTGGTAATTAAGGATTTGGGGAAATGGGTCTCTCTCACGCTGGGCTGGCTGCCATACTGAGTTCTTCAGCATCCAAAGCTGTGGGGCTGGTGGGCAGCATGCTTTCCCATGGGGAAGGTGCTCCTTCTGCTCCAGCCTGCACATGTTTCTTGTCTGCCTCTAGCTATCGCATACCCCCATGATCGCATTATTTCCCTGGGCTTTGTGATACTCATTTAATCCCCAGAGGCAGGATTGAATCTGGTTTCCTATCGCCCATGTGGATTCCCTCATCAGTGGGCTATTGAGGGAAAGGCAACTGCTACCTCCAACTGCTTTAATAATCCTTTGATTCCTCAGCTTGTACTGCCAGTGCCCAAAATGAAATGCTTTGCCGTTTGTTTTGCCTGAAACTATTCCACAAAACTGCTTCCAATTTATGGATGGATTTGGCTACCTCAGAACCTCATTTTTAGCAAAGACACAACTTGCCAAAAACCCTCACCCAGTGCTATTCTTGAGCACTTTGCCCAATCCTATATTTCAGAAGCAGTGCCTGTGTACAGTGTGGTTGCTACAACCTTCCCTCCAAGACCTTTCCTCCCTCAGTCAAAACAGGAAGACAGGAGAGGAGTTGTGGCCAAGACCCCTTGACCTTCCAGGGAGACAGCAAGTATTTATGTGGAGGTACTGGGCTGACGATCTTAGCTGTGTTGACAGGGATGAGTTATAAAGTGAAGCAGGCATAAGTGCTGTTTTAACAAGGCATAGGATTTCCAGGATTTAGGAGTGTTCTTAGCACCTTTCCCCTCTAAGCCTTCTCATCCCAGCACCCCATCTGCTTCCAGATGGGTACCAGTACCACTTTCTGGGCTGTGCTGGGAGCTGAACATCAATGCTGGGAGATGATGATCTGGCACTGCTATGGCACAGGGTGATGCCACAGACTCATCAAAGGGACTGTCGTCCTCCACCCTTCCCTGTGGGGCTGCCCTCTCCCTCCCCCCCATCTATTTAATATCCTGAAGAATTGGGTCAACAGCTCAGGGGCCCTCAGTCAGCGAAGCTGGACATGGTGCATCTGCTGGAGCCTTGGCAGAGCCACCCCTGCACACACAGGGCTTTGCCGGCAGGATCCCCAGAGCCAGATGGGCAGAATTGGCCTCAAATTTTGAAGCCATCCGGAGGACCTTGGTAGTCCACTGCTCCCACTGTGGTTCCCTCCAAGACACATGAGGAGAGTGGGAAGGAGTCAGTGACTGAGATTTTTGGTGTGTCACTGGAGTCCATTCCTGCTAGGATGAATAGCTTGATTTATGTAGGCAAGAATCTAATATGGCTTACACCTTTCTTTCCCTATGTGAAGTGGAACACAAAACTAACTTCAATGCACTGAAATCTGCACCAAAAAAAAAACAAACAAAACAACGAAAACCAGGCTAAGCTTTCTAGTTATACAATTATCTTTCCCCTAAAAAAAAAAACAACAAAACCTTCCATTAAAGCAGCAGAAAATATTTTTAAGTGCTTTTCTTCATAAAAAAACCTCTGATTTTGTCACTATTTCTATGGCCCAGTGAAGATTCCTGTGTTTCTGCTATGAGATGAATTGATAGCAAATGGTTTCATTGTGCTTTCTTACTGTGCTAAGAGAGTAAAGCAAAAAGAAACTCCCAGCATTGCACTACCGGTGTTTTCAGTCTCAAAGAATAAGCTGAATTCTTGTCATCCTGACCTATATCCAGTCAGGAGAAAAGCTCTCTTACATCTATGGGTAAAGAGTGTTCAATTAAAATTAATCTGATTATCAAACAGGCCTATTCTACAGTGGTCCAGCTCTGCTTCAGTTAAGTGATGTACTTTGTTGAGTCAGTTAACTTTTACGAGGGACCAGATTTCGATGAACTGATTTATTTTGTGTGTGGTGTTTCACAACTGGAGAAGTATGATTTATCTCCCGAAGTTGTCTTTGGGAGAACAATTCAATTATTTAATATGAGCAAGGCAGGCTGCTGACACATTTCAGTTCTGAAGGCACTGCTGTGCAGTTTATCCAGACAAAGCCCGAAACATGAATGCTGGCCTCCTGCCTCTGTTTTCATGTAACTGACTGTCGGAGAAGCAGATTTCCCTGCTCCATGGCTAACTAGATCTGCCTGGTTTGCTTAACCAGTGAGCACATTCCTGCACTTCAGGAAGAACACTCTGGGCTCATTTTGAGCTACTGGGCTATAGCACGAGATTGAGAAAACAGATTTGTTTTGGACAAGCTGCTCAAGGACATGGAGGTGCCAGGGTGAATAACCTTTGAGAGAAAGCAAAATGAATCTGCCTCCAAGAGCAAGATGAATAATCTGACAAACGAACGGCTCTGTGTTTTGTATCAAAGCACAAAATGACTAGAAGTCGCGGAGATCTGACTCATGAGCAGAAATAGCGTGCTGGGGACAGCTGGCACTGTTGCTACCACCAGCTGCCTGCCCCCACCACTGGAGAACGGGAGCCTCAGATGCTGCTTCTTAAGCAACTCAGCCTCAAAAAGCTACAGCTAAGCATTTTAAGGGAAACGTGTCAGTGCTAGTTTTTAGCCTCACTCATTAAGATAAAACTTGAAACAGTCCCGAGTTGCCATAAAGGCTTTCAGCTCACTAGGCAGGAGGAACAGGAGGGAAACCTTGCCAGGCATCCCACTGGAGGTTGCGCCAGGCACAAGTCAGCACTCGGCAGAGCAGCTTGTCCCAGCTAAGCTGCACTTCATTGCCACTGCAACAGGTTGACAGAAGACCCCTGTCCTTTTATCAGCAAAGCAGCCTTTTTGAGATGGGCAAATTTAAGTGGTGACCTACTTAGACATCCGGACCCATCAACGACCAGTAGCTGCAAACAATTCTGCAACATAATCCCATGGCACCCTGCTACTGCGTTTCCCCAGCTGCCCTCCCTGACTCAAATACACAATCCTAAATACTAGCGTAAAGCTTCATCCCAGCTCCTCCAGATAGACAGTGTTTCAGATGGTCTTCTGCAAAAAATTAGACTTTTGCAAGTGCCTTATCAGCGCTGCTTTCTCTACCTCTTCTCAGTTCCTCCTCCCACCCATAACTTTCAAACATGTTTATCATGTTGAAAAAGAAAGACAGCTCAGAAAATCAAACTCCTACAAACGTGGGGGGAGAATGGGTGGTTGGGCATGTGCACCCATTCCCACTGAGGGTGCAGTTACACAGTAGCTTCAATTGCTCTAAATTGGAGTTTCCATAGCAATGCCCTGTCTGCATCATCCTGTTGTCTTGTCCCCCTCTCCTGCCACCAGAAACAAGGAGGTACGTGCGAAAAGCGAAAAGCCACCACCGAGGCTGATTCTGCTGAAAACCAGTTCTCCCTAAAAATGATACATTTTGGCTAGTTGAGCAAGGCTCACCACCCCCTTGATCCACGGGAGGGCAAAGTGGGAAGCAGGATTTTGCAGGAGTGGGGAAGAAGGAACAGGTTGATTTTGAGACATTTTAATTCCGGCAGAACGAACTCTTAGCAGGGTTACAGCATTGAAGAAAAGCTGCCTGTGAAAGGGGAATCCCATCTGCCCCCTTTCTCAACTCCGGCAGATTACTTGCCACTCTGAGCTCCCTGACTGAACCTGGCTAATGCCACAGCATCAGTCCAAGGTGCATCTGGGCTGCAGGTGGGAAGGGCAGCGAGGCAGGAGCACCTCTTGCTGACAGCCTTATTTTAACTCAACTTTTAAACTAGTGTAAAACTGCAACTCAGGAGTTGGAGACGTGATATTCAAGTCTGGAAAGAGACACTTCAAGCTTGCTCAGAGTTATTTTGTCACTGAATTATGCAACGTTCTGCTTTGCTGGGTTAAAACTCCTGTTAGGGAGCTTCATTTTGTTTCACTAACTGTTACTCAAAGAACACACTAGCTGAAAATATCTCTGTAAACCCAAGTTATGTGGGGGACGGTGCCCAGCCTCTGAAGTTGCAGATTCCCACCCATTCTCCTCATGTAAACCGGCAGTGTTAATCAGGGAGATCTGCAGCCCTTTCTACATCGCTCATCAATCAACATTGCCCTACTTGCAGCAATGGTTATTGATTATCTTATTTGACACTGTTATTAATACACCGTAGTACAATTAGTGGGTGTTAAACGGCTTTAATCAAGAGTTTTCTTTAAAAAGGTATTTTAACGACCTCGTGGTGTGTGGAGTCACACACACAGTATTGCATCTCAACTCTGATACTATTACACAAGAAGGGTTCTAACCACGCTCTCTCTTTGTCCACTCTTCAAACAAACAAGAAAGAATTACTGAAAGAACAGGCGATTTAGGAGAGCAAAAGGCAGCAGCTAGTGAGTTGCCTTAGCGCTTCCAGGTGCGCAGAGGGAAGAAGCATCAGTCGTGCTTCCAGAGCCTCGGTGCAGCCGAATCAGCGATCCCAGTCAGATGGGATGGATGCCTGCCCGGGACACGCAACACCGAAGGATGTAGAATATTTGAGAGTGGTTTGGCCGCTGGCACGCAGCTATGGGAGCAGCAGGAATCAGGATGCAGGAATTTGGTCTTTGTTTCAGGAACATTCCTTGGAAAGTGTAGGGCCAACTGCAAGACCGTCCGAAACCCCTCATCTTATCAGCGCTCGGCCCAGGGAGGCAGTGGGACCGGTTTCCTCAGACACCGGGCTTCTCGGGACCGAGTGCTGTAAGCCTCCCTGCCAAGCAGCCGGCTTTCGCTGGGTACCCCATCCCTTCCCGGTGACTCCGGCGGCCCCGGGCTTGCACCGCCCCGACACCCAGCCCCCGGGGCCACGGCAGAGGGAATCCCGGACCCCCGCACCTCCTCCGCTGTGCTCACCGGCACGGAGCCGTGCGGCAGTGCGGGATGGTGAGCGCCACACCGCAACCTGGGCAGGAGTATTAGGGTTTTGGGTGTTTTTTCCCCCCACCTTTTCCTCCTCTGCGCGCCGCGCACCTCCCGTCCTGCTCACGGGAGCGCTCGGGCTCTAATTCTCCAAGCAGCAAAAGGAGAAATAGCCTGTCGGGGAGGAAAGCGAGGGTGGAACTGGCGGATAGCCCCCGTCTGGGGTCTGCAGCCAGGGCGACCGCCACCTGCCCCTGCCGGAGGAGCGGAGCGGGGGAGTCCCGGCGCCACCGGACTTACTTTCTGGGGGTCAGCATAGGTGCCCAGCCCCAACAGCGGGATGCTGTTCCCGTCGCTCAGGGGGACGCGGTGATTCTCGGCTGTAAGGTTCATGGTGCCGACAGGTAGGGCCGCCCCTAGCCCGCGGCTGCCTCCGCAGGGGAGGGAGCCAACCGCGGCCCCTGCGCACTGACACCCGCCGACCGGACCGACGGCGCCTCTGAAGGGGCTGAGATACGAACTGCCCGCTCCCTCCGGCGAGGAATGCCTTTTTGGGGGGCTGAGCCACGTGTGTCCGTGGCGGCCCTGCACCGCTCCCCGCCGCGCCCCGCCCCGCGCCCCGCCCCGCCGCGGCCACCGGTGGCCCCGCGCACCGCCCAGCGCACCGCCCCGGGGACCCCCGCTGCGACCCCCGCTGGGTTACCGCGGCCGAAGCGGGCCGATGGGCGTCCTGCGCTCCGAGGGCCCCAAGGGGTCTTGGCCGCTGCCGGGAGCCCTCTCGAGGCCTCCCTGCCCGGAGCTGCCCGTGGGGTGATGGCTGTGCCCTCCTCCCCTGGCTCCCGCAGCAGGGCACGGGCTTCCCAGGCTTTGGCTTCGCAGGTCTTGGAACTTTTCCCACGGAGGTGCAAACCCCTCTTTTAAATCCCCAGAGTCAGGGTTAGCAAGGACACTTTGTGTCCTCCGAGGAGAGTTTCCAGGTCTCCTTTCCAAAGGCTACAGGCCACAGGCTGAAAACCCCTGCTGTAGGGGCAAGGAAGGAATGAAGAAAATCCTAGGCAGGAGACTGGTGAATAGCTCCTCTGCTCACCTTGAATCCCAAATTACAGTGAACGGGCTCAAGTTCCTCACAGTCTGGTTCTGCTCTGCTGTGGAAAAAATGTATGTATTTCCTACCACTGATATCCCAGAAGGGGATAATGCCCTGTATGAAATTCAACCTAGGGATCTTACTGTCCTTTCTGACCCTTGTAAAACCCTCAGGGCTGTGCCTTTACAACACTCTGCAAAGATGGACCCTGTCCTGCGCCAGCTACTTTGTGCCCTGCAATGTTGTCTATGCTGAGTTCTCCCCATCTGATTTTGAAGTGTATGGTCTTACATGTCTTTCCAGATCAACCTGAAAGGGAGCCCTCTGATAACATTATTCCTCAGCAATGTCCTTTGCCTGATGGATTATTTTATCTCCTCTAACACCCTGCTGAGCTTTCTGTGCATGGTAAGAGTTCAGCAGCTTATGCAATTCCAAGAGGGGTTAATGGATCCGTTGTGATAAGTTATCTTTGCCAGGTTCTTGAAATCAATAGGTGTGTGCTAGTTTGCATCTGGGGAAAGGGTGAGTAGCTGCTAGGGCTGGGGACCTGCCTGGAGAACACCCTAACAATAGACCCTTTTAGTGTCACAGGGTAGATACCTCCAAGGGTCTCCAGTGAAGATGGAAACATTGCCAGTTTTCCTGGTAGGAATGTCCCAAGCAGCTCACGGCAAAGTGCAAGCCCACTTGATCCCTGCCCCAAAATTACTTGGACATCCTGTAGGACAAGGGTAGCATGCCGTGGTGTAAAATGCTCCCTGGTAGGTGGGCTGAGTGTGACTGAGGCTTTCCTGACAGCCTGAGCTTTACCTGGACAACACAATGCAAAGAACTAGATGTAAGGTGACTAGGTTCTCATCCCACGGGGTGAAGCTACAAGCTACAGCCTGGATGTAGCTACCGTGGGCAGCCTGGTCCTGCTAGACCCTGTCTGTGTGGTATTTTAAGTTGTGAGTACCTGTGGGTGCAGGTCTTTACATGTGACATGGAGGAATGTAGGGAACTTGATGACCCCCTTCATGCCTTCCTGTTGTTGTCCTGTAACTGGCTACCATTTTCTTGCTGCAGGAGAAGCTCTTACCTCCTCTCTCCATGCCAACCATGCCTAAGCACACTGTGTTTGTAGGAGGACAAGTCGATGCCTGCATGTGGAATAGACACAGAATAGAACGGAAAAGAACAGAGGAGCAAAAATATGGAGAAAGATGGAAATGAAGTGGGTAGAGAAGAGCCTGATGTGGCAGAGGGCATTCACAGACCTCCGCTTTTCCAGCCCCGTACTAACAGAGGTTCTGCTGATTCTCTACCCCTGAGCTCCCAAGTCAAGTCCTCCCAAGAACCCACTTTTCCATAATCCCTTTCAATCAGCAGCTTGCAGGGGGGTTATGGCACAGCTCACTCATTTGCTTCAGGCTCGGAGCACATCCAGCTTCCTCATGTGTTCTGGCATCAGAGCAATGCGTGCCCTGAGCTGTGTGTGATCCCAAGCTAAGCAAAGCCCAACTGTATCTGCAGTGCCTGTCCTGTGCAAGTGAGCAAGTGTAAGGAGCCTCTCTGGCAGGAATACAGCAGTCTGACACATAATAGCCCTCAATAACAACTGGGAAAGAAGGATTGACGGACTTGCCATAATTCATATGAAAGGGAACTTGGGCAGGAGAGCAGCTCCTGCTTCTAGGAACACTTGGGCCAACAGGCCTGTCACCCAGTGAAGCAAGCCACCATCCACAGGAACCCCTGCACTGCCCAGGCACAAGCCCCCAGCACTTGGTGAGGTTGAGGTGGCAGACAGCTGTGAAGTAAGAGGCAAAAGCTATGTCTCTTCTAGGTTCATTGCTAGACTGGTCCTTATGAAATTCAGTCAATGTGCTTGTCAGAGAAATTTGAGAGAGGCAGACCATTTTACAAGTCCTTCCCCCACACCTGTGCCTTAACTGACAGCAAATAGCGTGAACACTTTTTACACATGCAATTTTTTAATTCCCACAGCAGCTCTAGCTCCCTACCCTACTGTTTTAATGCCTTTGCAGATTTCATATTAAACCCCAAAAGACACATAGGAAAAATGAATATTCTCCCATTTACATCTGAGTTACTATCTCAAAATAGACTTATTTCATAGAAGCTAGAAATACTAGTGGGTTTTGAGCTGATGATGAGTACGCGTTAAAGAACAAAGGAAGATGAATAAAGCAGCCTGGAGCCTTTTGCATAAAATTCTTGTTAGTAACAATTTCTGCTAGCTGTTCAGGGGAGTACAGTTCTCAGTTTCAGAGCTTAAATGACTTAACCACACTTTTTACGAGGACACAGTATCTAGCAACTCCAACTGCAAAACAATGTGAGCTTCTAGAGGCTAAGCTTTGGCTGCTGGTTGTTGTTGATCAGCAACTATTCAGGAGCTTTTATAAAATGCAGATGTGATCCCAGTCCTCTCTCTAGGAAACAAAAACAATGAGGTTTCAGCCTGGCCTTACTAGGAAGTGATGAGAATTGCCATCCTATTGACACAAGTTCGCCGGCTCTAGCAAAGCCTGTAAAGCAAAGAACACCTTCAAAAGCAACTAAGGTAGGTTTGCAACCCCTGGATCAGTGGCGCTGAGTTTTATTGCTACATTAGTCATGCCAGACAAATAAAGAGTAGTGATTTGAAAAGCAGCCTCTAATACTTAAATGTTGTCGTGTCTCCACACACAAACAAAATAGACTAAAAAATACAAATAAAAGTTAGACATCAGTTTTTACAGGAAAAATAGACCAAACATCTGAGGTTTCTTGCTGTTAAAAGCTGCAGAAATCTCAGGTAAAGAAAGTACTTAATGGCCTCCTTACCTGAACAAAACTAGTCAGCAATCTTTTAAAGTCAAGAGGTCACCCTTTTACTCATTTTATCTCAAATTGCTGAGTATCCTGCAAACAGGAGAAAATGTGTGAGCCCTTTAAATTTAGCCTTCCCAGTTCTGGGAGGATAAAAAAATGGGAATGAGAAGGAATTGTTGATTGAGAAGGGCTGGCCTTGTCATCTTCTAGGTTTCATCTTTTCTCTGAGATTTGTGAGTTGCTCCCCCCTTTTTTTTTATTATATTTGGAGCAATCTGTTGTTTCAGACAAGGGAAGATGTTAAAACCAGTATTCTTCTGGATCTTCTAAGTCCGGGGGTCTTTATACATACATTGCAGACTCGATCAGTGAGATTCTAGAGGTGGGTGACCTGTAGTGCCTAAAAATCAACTTTTTAGAGAAAGAAAATAGGAAGTACTTTTGTAATACATGTAGTTATTAGATAAAAAATTCCTATACTCTTTCAACTTTTTCTATGAGCCGTGCTCCACTCTAAGCGTAATTATCTGCTAGAATGCATGCTCTGCATGTGTTTTCAGTTAAAATTTCTTAAAACATGGTCTTAAAGTCTGCATATTTTCATCCTAGTTCTTTAATGACTCACATAAACTTGCACGTGTCCATTGTGCATGTGGAATATTATTTATAATATATATTTTCAACTATTTAGCTTAGAGATTTTGGTAACATGCATCATGACTAGTATTTCTTTTCCTTTTTCACCATGAAATATGATAAACTAATACATATCTAGAGAAACTGCTACTTTCACTTTTTAACTCTAAGAAATAAGGTCTATGTAGTGTCTTGTAGGGATACTATGCACGAAGGGGGGGGGGGTGTGTGTTTAATTTCCTGCTACTTTGTTCAGTGTGGTAACAAATTATATAAACTGAACTGGAGAACACTTCCCTAGGGAAAAAAAATGTAGCATCTTTTACTCTTCATTTGCAAATGTGAACGTCATCACGTATGATATGATACAGTTCTCAGGACACCCAGTTAGATGAGCGGTACCCTATACCACCCGCATGATTCCCTTCCTTAGTGGCCCAGGGGTTTCTCATATGGAAGCATTTGTAATGGTTTCTCTTTGATCATGCTTGTTGCTCAATGAGGCTGATCACAGCCAGGATAACACCTGGGCTTCGTTGGAAAGTGTGATATAACAGGCCTTCTTAGCAGTTTGTATGCAAACTTCTTTCCCTAGCTCTCACTGGTTCATGTAAACTACTTGGCAAACCATGAAACACTTCAGTGATGTGCTCGTGTTTATTTAGATAATTTATATCTCTGGCAAGGACTTGTTCTTGGTAAGTCCTTCTTTGAAGGCCCAAAGTTTGCTTCCTAATTGTATCTGAGTTGGGTGGTAATGGGAGTATAATATGTGTGCACTTTTGGTGAAACCCTTCACTGCAAGACCCACAAAGTAGTACTTGACCTCCAAAGATCTCATCTCTCCCCACTTTCCCAGCACTAGTACAGCATTTCTGCTGGATCCTTAAGGAGAACATGAGGACATGGAGAAAATGTGCCTACCAGTTGTGCCTGTGGACAGAATTAGGAAAATACTTGATAGCTAGTTCATTTATCCCTTCTGCTCTGTGGCTACAGCTGTGATAAAAGGGAAATTCCTAGGTATCCTTGATGCTGTTCCATT